ACCACCGCGGCCAGCCTGAATGTGTTCTCGGATAACAGGAAAGATTCAGGTGAGGAGGAGAGGGAAGGATAGAAGCAAAGCTAGAAGTAGAAGGAAATGTTTTCAGGGGAACAGGAGAAAACAGGCATGGAGGAAGCTAAGGCCGCCTACTCTTTCCAGTACTAAACACTGCCTCATCGACATAAAGCAATCAGTACCTTTCTACAGACAACAAATAATGGCGGCATCCAAAAAGTGAGAGATATTCCCTAAGGAGTTTGGGTGAGACATTTTAGGCAGGAAGTGTCCTTTTTCACGCCTCTATGGAACAGAAAGCATGTAGGTATAAAAATCCTCCAAGGGCATGGTAATAGAGCTGAGGACCTTTCAGGCAACAGTTAACCTTGGCACCCATGAGTTTGTAAAGCTGTCCTGGCTAGGCCACACCAAGACTCATGATGTCTAGCCAGGAGTAGAGCAAATGTGGTCCCAGCACTGGAGAAGCTAAAGGACCCTCCAGAGCAGAATCCATGGAGTGGAAGGGACTGCCCCCTCAGCATGGCCCACCTCAAGCTCTGTACTGTGATAGAATATCCAGGTCAGTGGCTTACCAGCCACCAGAGTCTAGCCAATTGGTGAGCTCATAAAAGACTGAAAAAAAAAAAAGAAAAAAAAAAACATAGAGGAGAGTGTGGTAGTTTGAATAAAAATGGCCCCTGTAGGCTCATATATTCAATTGCTTGCTCATCAGGGAGTGGAACTACTTGGGAGAGACTAGGAGGTGTGGCCTTGTTGGAGAAGGTGTGGCCTTATTAGAGAAGGTGTGCCACTGGGCTTTGAGGTTTCCAAAGCCCGAGCCAGGCCCAGTGGCTGCTCTCTCTTCCAGCTGCCTGTGAATCTGGATGTAGAACTTTGGGCTACTTTTCCAACACCATGTCTGCCTCTGTGCCACTGTGCTCCCCACCATGGTGATAATGGACTAAACTTCTGTAAGCGAAGAGTTGCCATTGTCGTGGTGCCTCTTCACAGCAACAGAATGCTGACTAAGGCAGGGAGCAACATGAAAGACATCCAGCATCAACTCCTGGCCTCTACATGTGCATACACACACACACACACACACACACACATTGCAAAAAAGTCTTACAGGCTATTTCTGCTAAAAGTACTGACTCTTCACTTGGGCCTATAGATTCCCTCTTGGTAACTAAAATGAGGAGTAAGCTTGACATTTCTACCTTCATTTTGTATCCATCTGCTTGTATACTTAGCCTTCCTAAGTTTGTATCAGGATTCCTGCTTAACTCTGCACAAAGCCTAAGGATAGGCCCATACTCCTTACTGTCAACCTTTAAAGAGCAGTCATCTGAAGTAACCAATACTCTATCTACCCTCATGGCCGAAGACACCAAGATTAGAGTAACTAAGGTATTGTCAGCTGCCAACTTTTACAATGACCTGTTCTACAACCCCTGAAGGTGACACCTAGCAGCCCTCAGTCTTTGCTCTAACCCTCCCAGGAACTGACCAGGCTTCCAAACAGGTCTTTCCAAGATGACACTACCCTCTCAACCAGGAGTAGGATCATGGGACAATAGGTAACACACTATTAAGTAGATGTAGCCCCTGAACTGTGGGCGCTTCCTTGGCGTAAGATGGAGATTATTCCCTCTGGCAGCAAAAAATGTTTTGCCACCATTGAAACCATGTGACCAGAACTGAGATCATGATCAACCGGACCACAGTTTAGCCAAGACCCCTTGACCTCTTGCTTGTTTTCTATAAAGTCTAGGTTCAGGACTGGAGAGATGATTCGTGGGTTAAGAATGCTTGCTCTTCTTCCAGGCTACCTGAATGTGGTTCTGTCCATGATGCAGCTCTCACCCACCTGAAAGTATCAGGGGAACTGATGTCCTCTTCTGGTCTCTCTATGCACTTACACATACATGTCAGTATGTGACATACACACATACAAATAAATAGAAGATAGATAGATAGATAGATAGATAGATAGATAGATAGATAGATAGACAGATGACATATTTAATAGCTTGTTTAATTGCACAAGGACCACAGTCACAGAGGACAGCCTGTGTGCTGCTCTGAACTCACAGGTGGCATCCTACCTCAGCCTCCCAAGTTGCTATGGTTACAGGAATGTACTAGCATGCCCTGTTTGATGGATATTGGTAAATAAATAGATACAAATGAACTCTGGAGTTTATGTCACACTCTTGAAAACAAGGCTGATCCAGGCAGCCCTCCCAGTCTGTTAAATCCTCCTGCTGCCTCCCACCCTCCCACTTCATTTCTGTAGTGAGCAGCCATGCCTGAGGTGCTGAGGGAGCCCCCAGAGTCAGGCCTCTTGCCTAGGATTCTAGTACAGTTCTATTTTCTAGTGGCCCAGAACATTGCGGCTCTAGAGGCAGCCAAAGAGGTTGCAGTCTTCCGATAAGGAACTGCAGGAAAACCACCTTAGCCACCGCACCTCCATCCAACCGCGCAATCTGTAACGTGAATATAGAAAGCAGCACATCTGTGATCGCCATGGCTGTCAAGTCAGCACTGACTCAAACCAGCTGGGCTACTGATGCAGCCCAAATCAGTGCCCTGGTTAGGCCCAAGCGAGAGAAGACGTGTCTTCCGCTGGCTCCTGGTTATGATGCTTTGGATGTTGCAAACAAAATGGGGAAAATCTAAACCGGGTTTGGCTGGCTGATGCCAAATGTTTAATAAATCTCAGGGCTAGAGATGGCTCAGTAGTTAAGAGCACTTTCAGAAGACTAGAATTTGGCTTCAGGCACCCATGTCAGGCAGCTTACAACCATCTGTAATTCCAGCTCCAGGGAATCTGATGCCCTCTCCTGGCCTCAATGGCTACATGCACATGTGCATACCCCCACACAGAGAGACACACATATGCACACAATTAAAAATAAAATATTTTTTCATGTACCATAACTTTCGTCCTAAAAGATAAATAGAAAGAAAGAGAGAAAGAGAGAGAGAGATGGATGAATGAAGTCAGTTAGTGGCACAGGTCTGCCATTTCAGCTTCATAGGGAATTGAGGAAAGTTGACCACAAGTCCAAGGTCTGATTGAGCTACCACATAAGTGTAAGGACAGCCTGGGAAATGTAATGAGAGTCTGTCTAAAAAAAAAAAAAAATTTAAATAAAAAGAGGACAGTGGATATAGCTGAGTAATAGAGTGGTTGGCTAGCAGAGAGGAGGGTCTAGGATAAACCCATGACACCACAAATAACAATGATGAAAACAACAATAATTAATAATCAAAATCAAGTGAGTCACTCCCTACGAAGTTCTCCAACAGCAAGCTCAAACAGCTTTTCATCTGGTCATCATAGAAATCAAGCCTAGAAAAATAACCACCAAACTTCAGTTGGCATAAGGCTGTTTCTCCTGCATTAATACTAACCTAGAACAACCTTGCCTTCATCAGTTATTCCCTCACTGTTCAGTCTCTCTGTCCCTCACTTACAAAGAAATAACCTTGAAATGAAAGGTCTTTCTGTTCCTCTGTTCTTGTGTATTCTAGCCTTTCTGTTTAAAAAAAAAAAAAAAAAACAGCATCTTTTGCTCAGGACACTTACTTACTGTGCTACAGAATGAAATGATTCCTGATTCCATGATCAAAAGAAGAGACAGGGCTGTGGTAGGGAATGGCTCAGAATAATCCCAGTGACAGACCTTTGGTTTAACGGACAATTCCAGGTTGACTTCTGAGTAATTTGGCCTCTCAGAAAGGGCTTCCAGTTTGGAAAACATTCAAACTCTATTCTCCTTGCTCAAGGTACCTGAAAGTTTATCAGGAAGACAGAACCAAATGTGATTCCAAAGCAGGGATTTAACTTTAAAGTTCATATCATGCTCATACCAAAAGCTTTTCATGCATTCAACTCCTGGAGCACTTGCTTACACTGAAACCTGAGTTCCACTTCTGTCACATTGTCATTGTCAGGTTATTAAACAATTTGAGCCTGTTTTTTTTTTCTCTCTCTCTCTCCATAAAATAGGAATGACGTAGAATCCTGTGCTAGACAGTTTTATGTCTACTTGACACTAGAGTCATCTGAGAGGAGGAAACCTTACTGGAGAAATTGCCTCCAACAGGTTGGCCTGTCAGCAAGCTTATAGGGCATTGCTGATTGATGTAGGAAGGCCCAGCCTGCTGTGGGCACCACCACCCCTGGGCTGGTAGTCCTGGGTGCTGCAAGAAAGCAAACTGAGCCAACTAAAAGGAGCAAACACTCCACCATGGCTTCTGCATTAGTTTCTGCCTCCAGGTTCCTACCCACTGTGAGTTCCTGCCTTGGCATCCCTCAGTGGAGGCTTTCATATCTCTTGCCTCTTCTTGTCTCAGTGTTTCATCACAGCAACAGTGACCCTGACTAAGACAAGAGTGACAGAGTTGAGGCCTGGTAGTAAGAAACTCTGTGGCCTCGTTATTCCCAGAAGTTCCCCAACCATAAGCACAGCTGCCAACTGCCAGGCACACTTTCAAGGTTAGCTGACTGTCGAAAATGGATCAATGTCACAGTTAGGCTCCCTAGTTCCTTTCTGTGTCCCTGGCCATGGCCAGTCTTGGGGTTTCGGGGTTGCATTCAATAACCCATCAATATCTTTCTGAGATTGGTTCTTGAGTGGTTTGTGTGGCAATTCTTGTACTATAACAAGTGTACATAAAGTGTGTGTGAATGTTATTATTCTTACCCAAGAACCTTCATGTGTCTAACTTAAGACATATAAACAAAAAAATCTCTATAATGTCACAATGTACACTATTAGTCGTTTTAATTTTTTTCCTTAGTTTACTTTTTATGATTAATAAACTTAACCCTGCAATACAGTCAGACATGGAGGGGAATGAGGAAAATATGAAACCCAAAGAACTTCAGTAAGAGTAGAGGTTACAGGGTACTGCAAACAGATGGGCAGATGGGGTAGGAATGCTCTCCTGAGTTACAGAAGGAATGGTCTGCTGGGTAAGATGCCTACAAGTCATAAGAGTTGTCTGCAGTCAGAAATTGTGATCTTCTTGGTGGTCTTGCCATTCCTGGACCCAAAACGCTCCATGGCTTCCTTGATGTTCATGCCTTCTTTCACCTTCCCAAAGACCACATGCTTGCCATCCAGACACTCAGTCTTGGCAGCACAGATTAAAAAAACAAAAAAACAAAAAACAAAAAAAAAAACAAAACTGAAAACTGTTTGTGTTTGGCCCAGCATTTGCCATAGACAAGATGCCAGGACCTGTGTGCTTCAGGATGAACTTCTCATCCTCAAATTTCTTCCGGTAGATAAACCTGCTGCCAGTACCATTATGGCATGTGAAGTCACCACCCTGGCACGTGAATCCTGGAATAATTCTTTGAAAGGAGGAACCCTTACATCCACATCCTTTCTCTCCAGTGCTCAGAGCACAAAAGTTTTCTGTTGTCTCTTGACACTGGTATCAAGTTTTAGCAGACTAAGCTACTTGTATTGGTTTCATTTAAGCAACAAAGGGCTTTACCTGAAGATACTTTGGTCAGAATTCTCCAAAGAAACAGCAACCACAGTAGATGTAATAGAAATGGTACCTGTCATTATGAAAGTTGAGGTGTCCCATTTTGCCATCTACAAACCAGAAGGCCGGGGTGAGGGGAGCTTGCCTTAAGTCTAGTCCGAATCTAAAGGCCCACAAACCTGGAGTTTCAGATTCTCGGCCCAACTCTGAAGACCTGAATACCAACCAGGAGTGCTACTGAAGGCAAATGGGTGTGGCAGCTGAAGCAGAGCAGCAGCTCCACCCTCCCTCTGCCTCTCTGTTATATTCCAACATGGAGTGGACTGATGATACCCACCTGCCCTGATGAGAGCCAGTCTTCCTTACTTGGTGTACTTGGTGTAACCTCCTCGGAAAACATCCTCACAGGCATTTCCAGAACTAGCGCTTTACATTATCTGGGCATTCAAATTGTCATATACCAGTCCTACATGGATGGTACTAAATGAACAATGACTGCAGAAAACACACCCCCAAGGAAAGCCCAGTGTACCTCATTAAGAATCAGAGCAGTGTCTTGGTCTTATAGTTCTAGTATCAAGATGTAAAGCAGGAATGGTCTGATTATAGGTACAGCACCCCGTTGAAGCCATAGAAGGGTGTCTGGCAGTGCAGAAAGACCTGGACAACTGGAATTTTCCAGAACATAGAGAATCTGCTGCCATACACAGAGTCTAAGAGGTAACCAGCTCCAACTCCAGTGACCTCAGAAGCAGCCCCAACCTGACTTGAGATCCCACCTCCAAGTCTTTGGAGACACTCCCACGTGTTTTGAGCTGAGTAAACGGATACCTAGAAAGTCTAAATGTGGCATGAGGTAGCCTCTGGATTAAATAAGAGAATGTACCTAACATGCTCGGCACTGTGGTAGGACACGCTCCGCATTGTTTGGTGTTCCTCCTCCACTGCCTCGCTCGCTCTGTGTCCTGCTCCTCCCTCCTTTCCAAGTTGCTCATCTGCTTTGCCCAACAGAAAAATCTTCAGTGTGCTGAAGGCTGTTATGAGCAGATTCTTAGCAGCAAAGCTTGGGCCCTTTGGCAGCCCTCACAAGGTCAACTCAGCCACTCCTCCTCAATATGCCAATCAGAGAAAAAGAACATTTATTCAATGTGGCCCAATTGGGAAGAGTAACAAATCAGTAAATCCAGTGATACTCCCCCCCAACTCCATCATCAGAGTCCTGACATGAGATTCAGCTTCACACAGAGGTCAGGTGGTAGTGGATAAACAAACCTGGTCACTCTGTGGTCCTGCCAGTCATTGGCCCATTATTTTTTGCAAGGTGGTTTCTCCTCCTAGTATTACACTATCTGAGTGGAAACCAAGCCCCAGTCTTTCTCACTCCCCATCATGAAACTCCTAAGAAATTCCTATAACTTGGGGTCCATTGTCTGATATCCAAGCTGAAGAGCAGAAACATCTCTTTAGATTATTTTCGATCCTGCCCAAATAGTCCTATACTATAGACTAATACTGCTGTCTCCTAGCAATGTAGATGAGTGTGATGTTCAAAACCAAATTTGGATTCTATCTCTAGCATTTAAAAGACACCCAAAAAGGACCATCAAGATGACTCAAAAAATAAAGGCACCCACTACCAAACCTGATGACCTAAGTTCAGTCCCCAGACGCACATGGAAAAAGGAGGACCAAACCCCCCTTCCACATACACACTGTGGCATATGCTTACACACAAACACAAAATAAATGTAATTTAAAAATTTAAAAGAGGACAAAAATACATGCCTACTTTATTCGTTAATAAGTCTTTGACCAAAGGGTAAGTGCTTACTCTTGTACAGCACAGGAAAGCTTTCAAAGTCAAAAGGCTGCAGTTTCTTCACATTGTGTGCAGGCTAAGGGGTTTATATGCCTGATCCTCTCCCATAAGGGAAGGAAGAACACATAGACCTTAAAACATCCTTTCAAGACCTTGAAAACATCCTTTTTTAGAGGAAGGAAGAAGCTGATCCTTAACAGGCCAGATGAGGCTCCAGGGAGAAAGAAGTGTGGGGTCAGGGTATCTGGACCTTACTTACCTCGTCTCTTCTCAACACCTACCTGGACCTTCCTACAATTTCAATGCTTTGCTTCTTTTGTACGCATGTTGTCAGGGGGCCATAAGGAAGTTTCTAGTTGTTACGGGTTTGAGAGAAGCCAGCCTTTACAAGATAGCACCAATTCAGAAGGATAACTGATTGCTGTGTTCTGAAACCTTTTCCAAACAAGCATATCAACCAATGAAGCCTACTGCACTTCTAAGCTAGACTTGAGAAGAACCATCTTCATTGCTGTACATATATTCCGAAGTCATCTTTACATGTAATAGAAAAATATGGAAGATGGGGGACTAAACACCAGCGGAATGGTTAGATGGGCCACGTAGTAGATTATTATACATCATCGTAAGAGGAACAATAAATGACAAGAAGCAAACCTTTTACAAAAGATAAAACAGATATGGTCCACAAGAACATGCAAAAACATTGCCTTCACTAAGACAAAAATGCAAACCATTATTATAAAATACAATTTCATGCCCTTTAGTCCAGTAAAATGTAAAATTTTGGCAAGGTTGCATATTAGTGTTGAAATGGATGACTAGTTGGTAGGGTGCAAAATGGTTCAAGCCCTTAGGAAAATGGCCATTATCTTGCAAAGCTGAACATTCACAAACCCAGTAATATTATTGCTAACTACAAACCCCCAAAACAGCCACACTTAACACTTATGTATTAAAGGTGTGGATAAGACCATTCAGTGCAATAGGAAAAAGAAAAAGAAAATAGATCAGTTGTGGCACAGCCACAAGATGCTACATGACATTGCAGACAAAAGTAGCCACTATGCATAGTGTAGATAAATATTCGGAACATAATGCTGAGAAGGGAAGAAAAACCAAAGACTGCACCATTTATACACATTCCCTAACTTAAGGTGGTGTGACTGTTATTCTTGGTTGTCAACTTGACTACATCTGGAATTACCTAAAACCAGAGCAGCCAGGCACACATTCCTGTGAGAAATTTTTGTTTTCTTAATTAAATCATTTGACTTATTTATAATCTGAATCTTTGAGGTGGGAATACAAACCTTTAATCCAGATCTTTTGAGGTGAGAAGATCCACCTTTAATCTGGGCCACACCTTTTGCTGGCAGCCTATAGAAAGGTCGTGGAAGAAGGAAGCTTGCTCTTTGATTGCTTGTTCTTGCTCTCTCTGGCAAGTCCATTCCTTCACTGGCATTAGGGCCTACTACTTCAGGATTCTGGTATATACCGAAGACCAACTGAGACATCAGTTTCATGCACTCAACAGCTACTGAATCCTTGAACCTTCTGTTGGTAGACAGCCATTGTTGGTCGTTCTAATAAATCCCCTTTCAATAGATAGATAGATAGATAGATAGATAGATAGATAGATAGATAGACAGACAGACTCATTCTATTAGTTCTGTTCCTCTAAAACGCCCTGATTAACACAGGTGTTTTAGGGCCAGTGTTATGAGGTCTCTACCAAAGGAGGCTATTCAGACATTGGTGTAAACCAACAGAAAGTCTTTATTGGCAGAACAGAGACAACACTGGGAGTTCAGGATCCCATTATAGCCCTGAGCTGTAGTGGAAGTTTTGGTTGTGTTGTGTGGATTATATTTTTGTTGTAGTTCCAAATATGGGATATGAGCATGCTTTTCTCCATAGCTGATAGGAGCCTCATGATAAAAAATGTTATCCTTGTGGTGGGGGTGGGGAGGCTGTGGCTTTGGCCTACTGAAGACATCCTTGTGTGGACTTTAAGAAGATATAAATAGGAGCCCACAGACAGATCACTTTGCATCACAATACTTTGCATTGCTTTGCTCCTAGAAAGAAAAGTTCCAGAGAACTCTTCATTCCATTTTTTTCTGCTGAATCCTGCTGCTGCTGTTCCTGGGCCTTGTTACTGCTTTTGCTGTTGCTGGATTGCTGTTTTGCTATTTGACTGGACTGCTGGTATCCTGACAATGAAGAGTGGAATCGCCCCAAGGAACTACTTTTAAAAAGGTCCACATCCCCTTTTCGCCAAGATGGCGCCGAAAGCGAAGAAGGAAGCTCCTGCCCCTCCCAAAGCTGAGGCCAAAGCGAAGGCCTTGAAAGCCAAGAAGGCAGTGCTGAAAGGCGTCCACAGCCACAAAAAGAAGAAGGTCCTCACGTCACCCACCTTCCGGCGGCCCAAGACCCTGAGGCTCCGGAGGCAGTCCAAATACCCTCAAAAGAGTGCGCCCAGGAGAAACAAGCTTGACCACTATGCCATCATCAAATTTCCCCTGACCACCAAGTCAGCCATGAAGAAAATAGAGGACAACAACACACTTGTGTTCATTGTGGATGTCAAGGCCAACAAGCACCAGATCAAACAAGCCGTGAAGAAACTCTATGACATTGATGTGGCCAAAGTTAATACCCTTATAAGGCCTGATGGAGAGAAGAAGGCATATGTTCAGTTGGCTCCTGATTACGATGCTCTGGATGTTGCCAACAAGATTGGGATCATCTAAACTGAGTCCAGCTGGTTAACTCTAAATGTATATACATTTTTTTCCACCATAAAAAAAAAAAAGGTCCACATCCCCATCCGTAATAACCTTCTTTCTCTCCTACCTGGTGTTGGGGTACTGGTAGGAACTGGAGTGGAGAAGGAAGAAAGAGACTTGCTTAGGGTAAGATTTTTAAAACCACACCCTGGAGCGGCATGCATGCTTCAGTTAATGAGAATAGTTAGCCAGAAGCAGAACTACAGAAGCCAAAGAGTAAGGTTGTTACATTAGACACTTTCATAGAACTATATTTGATAACTTTATGTCCTTGTTTATGCTTTGGCTGCTGGTGCCTGAATAGTACTTCCATCATGGAGTCAGTTGTACTAAAGTCTGAAGGCCACATCAGGATCTGAGTGTGAACTCCCTCATCTCCCCAGTCATTGGGATCATTGAAAGAACTCAGATGAGGCCCTCACTGAAGAACTAGACATTAGAGCTTATTACAGAATGTAAACGATTCTCAAGCAGTGAGATCAGGCAGTGACCAGAGACCATTGTCTTGACTGACACTTTAGGCATTTACAGCATTTGAGAACTCTCAAGAACAAGCAGTGTTTTCTGGGGGACTTTGTCCTGCCCAGATGATTGACAGACCCATTTGGACCAGCTCTTCCAGGAGGAAGAACTGACATGTCTGTGTTCCTTACCAAAATCCTCCAGATGAAAATCACAAGGTGTAAGCCTCCTGGAGTTGGGTTTGGATAGTTACTTATTAACGGCTTTCCAGGAAGCTCAGGCTGTCAAGAGTCAGAGACATGACTCATACCCTGTTCCTCCTACCAGTAATTAAAGCCC